GGTGCCGGGGAAGGGGCTGAGATGGCACCCAGACCCCCCCGAGGAACCTGGCCAGCGATGCTCAGCTCCCTCCGCTGCCGGCACAAGGCTCTGGGCGCAGCCATCGCAGCCGGCTGTTAGGGATTTATGCACGCCGGCCACTGTAACAGGGTCCGACCCCAGGATCCCGCCGATTAATGTAAAGTCCGAGTGAAGGTTTCCAATTCCTCTTTTATTGGTTCTCGGGCTACAGCTCGAGCTGGGTGCCTCCGGAGAGGGACCCCTACCCCAGATCACCCCCCCAATTATACTCCTACCGCCCAGCACTCGATCCCCAAGTCCAATCGCTTAATTCTGGTCGGTGGTCTCTTGTTTTCTCACTGGTTTTCACTGTCGCTTGGCTGGCCGCCTTCCGAAGTGACTTCATTCTCTTGGAATTGCCTCCTTGGTCCTTACCTTCTTCGTTCCGCTCGTATCTGCCGGATTCAGCCAGTTCTGTGTTTGCAGCATTAGTTTTATCAAAAAGTTTACTCTCGGTCAGCTCTTGCGGCCTAAGGCTTCGACTGCTTCAGCTACTAGTGCTAAACGAGACTATTCAGAGAGAAGAATACAGTCAATCAAATTTCTTCTCCAACACCAGCGCCGCCGCTCCGCGCTCGCGCCCCACAGGGCCCACCCCAGCCAGGGGGGTGGCAGCTGCACCGCAGGATTGCTTTGCGCCAGATGTCTCTTCTGTGCCCGTCACCCGGTTATTTCTCTGCTCCCAGTGTTAACCTGGGGTGGATGAGCGCAAGGGAGAGCTTTAGCGAAGCTACCGAGCTAATGGCCACGTCAGTAAAGCGTCAGTGCGTCTCACGACGCAGCTGATCGTGTGCCTGGCTCGGCTGGGATGGAGTCACCTTTTGGCACAGCAGTTTTGGCAGTGCTGCGCTCTGCCCTGCACATGGCTGGCACAGGGCTGGTGATGCCCCACGCTCCCGCTGCTGGTGAGAGGTGCCGGTACTGCCCCAGGGCATCCCCTGCACCCCCGAGCAGCAGCTAGGGTGGGCAAGGGCCCGGAGGGGACCCAGCCGGGACAGCCGACCCCAGGGGTATTGCACACCGTGTGCCGTCCTGCTCAGGGATAAAAGGGGAAAGGTAGGGGAAGGGTGGGGTGGTTCAGTTGGAAGGGACCTACAAGGATCATCTGGTCCAACTGCCTGACCGCTTCAGGGCTGACCACAAGTTAAAGCATGTCGTTAAGGGCATTGTCCAAGTGCCTCTTAAACACTGACAGGCTCGGGGCATCGACCACCTCTCCAGGAAGCCTGTGCCAGGGTTTGACCACCCTCTCGGTAAAGAAATGCTTCCTCATGTCAAGTCCGAACCTCCCCTGGTGCAGCTTTGAGCCATTCCCAGGCGTCCTGTCCCTGGATCCCAGGGAGAAGGGATCAGCACCCCCCTCCCCACATCCCCTCCTCAGGAAGCTGTAGAGAGCAATGAGGTCACCCCTCAGCCGCCTCCTCCTCTCCAAACGAGGCAAACCCAGAGCCCTCAGCTGCTCCTACAGAGGACATGCCTTCCAGCCCCGTCGCCAGCTTTGTTGGCCTCCTCTGGACGCATTTGAGGACCTTCACGTCCTTCTCAAATGGTGAGGGCCCAGAACTGCACACAGTGCTTCACGTGAGGCCACACCAACACTGAATACAGCAGGACAATCCCCTCTCTTGACTGGCTGGTTTTGCTGTGTTTGATGCCCCCCAGGATGCGGTTTGCCCTCTGGGCTGCCAGGGCACACTGCTGGCTCCTATTGAGCCTGCTGCTGACCAGCACCCCCAGACCCCTTTCTGCAGGGCTGCTCTCCAGACACTCCTCTCCCAATTTAGACTTGTGCTCGGCATTACTCCGTCCCAGGTGCAGAATCTGGCATTTGTTCTTGTTGCATGTCATGCTGCTTGATGATTGCCCAATGCCCCAGGCTACGTAGATCCCTCTGCAAGGCCTCCTGTCCCTCGAGTCAACAGTACCCCCCAGCTTGGTATCGTCAGCAAACTTGCTAACGGTGCCTTCAGCTCTTGCATCCAGATCGTTGATAAATATATTGAACAGCACTGGCCCTAGGACTGAGCCCTGAGGAACACTGCTGGTGACCGGTCGCCAGCCAGATGTAGCCCCATTCAGTGCAGCCCTTTGAGCCCTGCCCTCCAGCCAGTTCTTCACCCAGCGCACCGTGAACCCGCTCGTCCCACAGCTGGACAACTTGTCCAGAAGGATGCTGTGAGGGACAGGACCAAAAGCCTTACTGCAATCCAGAAAAGCCCCATCCGCCGCCTTCCCTTCACCCACTGGGTGGGTGACCTTATCGTAGAAGGGTATCAAATTAGTTAGACAGGTCTTTCCCTTTGTGAACCCATGTTGACTGTGCCTGATGATGGCATTGTCCTTTAAATGCCTTTCAGTAGCACCCCGTATGCTCTTCTCTGTAATTTTTCCAGGTGCTGAGGTTAGTCTCATCGGCCCGTAGTTCCCTGGGTCTTCCCTCACGCCCTTCTTGTCAATTGGGATAACGTTGGCCAGCTTCCAGTCAGCGGGGACCTCCCCAGACTCCCGAGACCTTTGGTAGATGATCGAGAGGGGACTTGCCATGACACCCGCCAGCTCCTTCAGTGCTCTGGGGTGAACCCCGCCAGGCCCCGTGGACTTGTGGACATTCAGCTGATACAGCTGGTCCCTGACAATTGCAGTGCCCGCAAATGGAAAGTCACTGTTCCCGCAGCCGCGGTCCCCCAGCTCAGGGGACCGGGCAGCCCAAGGTCTATCAGCCTTATTAAAGACTGAGGCAAAAACCGCACTGAACACGTCTGCCTTTTCTTCACCCCTGTTTGCTAAGCGTCCATCTTCAACAAGTGTCGGTCCAACGTTTTCCTTAGGCCTCCTCTTGCTATTGAGGGGCTTAAAAAAGCCTTTCTCGTCTGACGCAGCACTGGCCAGCGTCGCCTCCAGCTGAGCTTTGGCCTTTCATGGTTTTTCCCCACACGTGTGAACCACACGGCCCCGTGATCCTCCTGCGAAGCCTGACCTCGCCTCCAGAGACGGTGCCGTGTCTTCTTCCCCCCGAGCTCCACGAGGAGGTCCCTGGTCAGCCCAGCCGGTCTCCCGCTCCGTGCGCTTGACTTGGGACACCCTGGGATTGCCGGCCCCCGGGCTTTTGAAGGCGTCTCCTAAAAACCGCCCCGCTCCCACGGGCTCCCGAGCCCTCGCAGGCAGGTTCCCCGGGGACGCTGCGCAGGGGCTCCCCGAGCAGCTCGAGGTTTGCTCTCCTGAAACCCCGGGGTTTCAGGCTCCGCTGCCCTTTTTTCTCATTACACCGAAGATCGTAGACCCGACCGCTCCGCGGTCCCTGCGGCCAGGACAGCCCCCCCACCCCCCCGCGTCTCCCCGAGCCCTTCTCTGCCCGCAGAGGGGGCCGGGAGGGCACCTTCCCGCCGACTCCC